CTCTCAGACACTACCTGCCAGGAGAGGGTGGGCTCCTACGAGGTAGAGGTGAGGGTGGGGGCTAGGCCACAATTTCCCATGTGATTTTCATTACTAAAAAGATCAGCAGTAAGAGTGGCTCACCACGTCTCTTACGGCTCCCTTCCTGCTCTTGCAGAGGACCTGGATCCGTATCAGGTCTCTGGCACCCAGGGCTTCTGCAGCCACAAGATGGACATGAACTCAGACAGGCCCACAAGCATACGAACAAAAATCAAATTTAAAAGTCTTAATGGAAAATGCCAGGTAGTGCACAACTTTTATCCCAGCACGTGGGAGGTAAAGGCAGGTAGATCTGTTAGTTTGAAGCCACTCACTAAACAGTGAGTTCCAGGATAGCGAGGCCAGGACTACATGATGAGATTCTACCTTTTTTGCTGGCTGTTGTTATTCATGTATTTTGGATTTTGTCTGCATGTATATCCATGTACCACGTGTGTGTCTAGTATTCCCAAGATAAGGACGCCCTGGAACTGGGGTGGTTGTGAGCCACCGTGGCAGGGCCAGGAACTGAGAACTGGGGTGGTTGTGAGCCACCGTGGCAGGGCCAGGAACTGAACCTTGTTTTCTGCAAGAGTAACAAGTGCTCTTAGCAGCCCCAAAGAGAACTTGTCTAAAAACAAACAAACTAAGAAAAAAAAAACAATAAAGATCAGAGGCTGGGCCGATGCCTCAGGTGGCACTTCCAGGCTCTGTTGGACTGGTGCTCCTCTAGCATGTGTGACGTCCTGGGTTCCATCCGCAGCATCACTTAAAGCAGACATGGTGACATACAGCTGTCATCTCAGCACTCAGGAGGTGGAGGCAGGAGAATCAGGAATTCAAAATCATCCTCAGCTACATAACAAGTTTGAGTTCAGTGTAAGCTACATGAGAGCCTGTGTGAAAATAAACATGGGAGGTACAGCTTGGCAGTGCAGGCCTTGCAGTGATACCGTCTCATCAAAGGCTGTGTGAGCTGAAAAAGACGGTGTGACAGCTGAGAGATGGCTTGCTATGCTGTGCAAGCATAAGGCTCCGGGTCCTCGGCCCCAGCACCCACATGAAAAGCATTCTAGGCAGTGGTGGTGCATGTCTTTAACCACAGCACTTGGGAGCCAGACGTGGGTGGGTCTTAATTTGAGGTCAGACTACAAATTGAGTTTGGGGATTGACAGGGATGTCAAAAAAGGAACAACAAAAAAACAAAAACAAACAAACAAACAAAAATGATGGGACACGAAGCCTGTTGATTCAGATAAAGAGGATACATGCTTTGTCAACTTTTCAAGGGACATGTGGCACAGGGTTGACAATGATCCTCTGCCCACAGGCTAAATGCAGGAGGATGAATGAGAGAAAAGGACAGGCAGTTGCCTGTGTGGTTCCAAATCAGGAAACACTGACTGGATATGGCTCTCAATATACTCCTGTGAACACCTGATTACTGGGTGAATTGGTTACCTCCAGGATCCTGCACCAGCCACAGCAGGCATCTTCCAACACATCTTGGACATCTCAACCCACCCATACCCCACTGGGAATCCTTTGTGCCCATCATAGGACATGTAGGACCTCACCTTCCTGGTATTAGCCTGTTGGTCATATATAGAACACTGAGGGCGCTTAAATGATCTGACGTGGGAAGTGTCACTCACAATGTTCCAGGGAACCTGGGTGACAGAGGTTGGAGTGGGAGGGCTGGCTGCACTCACCTGTGCTTGTCTGTGCCTTCTGTAACTTCAGAAACTGCTGCAAGAAGCTGCCATCATTGGCAAACTTGTTGGAGATGCAGGAGTTATGTGCATCGGCAATTCTAGAACCAAAGCACAGGTGAGAGTAAGCTGTAGAGAAAGGCAGAGAGCCAATGACAGGGCTAGTTCACTGACATTCCGGGCCCTATACCCACCTGTGTTCTCCTGCTGAGAGTCCCAGATGGTAGCCCCAAAGATGTTAGGGACAATAGCTGAGTGCAGGGTACAGGCATGTATGTAGTGGGCTAAGTGCACTCTGCCTTGGTGAAAATAATACATATACTTGGGCTACTGCTGTTTGAGTCCCAGCTCTGTGGTCCTAGTGGTCTTCATCAATGGCTTACTTTCTTTTCCAGCACAGTACATGTTCTACCAGCTAATTAATAACCTGGCTATTGTTCTCCATGTGTCACAGCTTTCTCTAAAGTAGCATGTGGCTTTAGTTATTTTGAGACATGATCTCTCTATGTAGTCCTCATGATAGAACTCACTCTGTAGACCAGGCTGGCCTTGAATTCACAGAGACTGACCTGGCTCTGCCTCCTGAGTGCTTGGATTAAAGGTGTGCACTACCACACTCAGCTTTGTGATTTTATTTTGTTTGCTTTTGAGACAGGGTTTCATGTAGCCAAGGCTAGCATTTAACTCCTAATCTTCCTGACTGTGCCTCCAAGTAGTAGGATTGCATTGCATGTGCCACTGAACCTGCAAGTTTGCTTTTTTCTTTTTAAAACCACGTCACAGAGGCTGGAGAGATGGCTCAAGGGTTAAGAGCACTGGCCAGCCTAGATTACATAGTGAGACTCAGTCTCAAAAAAAAAAAAAGAAAGAAAGAAAGAAAAAGAGAAAAAGAAAAAAGGCAGCACCACGTGGCCCTGAGCCTCTTCTCACCACCCTACTTCTACTGTCACTTCATCCCATCTCCTGTCACACTGAGACTCCGCTGCCATAAACCCCGGAAGCCACTTACTCCCCAGGATGAGGAGGCTGAGGACTGGCCACGTGACTCTGCCTGGCCTTTTGTTCCATTCTGGCTTCAATCTCCCGCTTCTTCTGAGCAATGAGCTCTTCCTGGTGGAGGATGTTCATATTCATCTTTCCAGACTTGGGTTGTGCCATCCCGAACCACCGATTGGCCTTTCCTGGAAGGGGGAAAAGATGGAGATCAGAAAATACCATTGCTCCATCAGCATTCCCAACAGCGATGTTCAGGACTCAAATGGTCATTTGTTCATTTCTTTAACAAATGCTTAAAGAATATTTGTCATGTCACTGTGCTAGGCTCTAATGAGGACTGATGAGAACTCCAGTGGGGCTCACCTCTGACTAGAAGGCATGAGAACACAAAAACATAACATAAAAGACTAGCTGCAAGGGCAGTGGGACAAATATGCAATCTCAGCACTCAGCAGGCTGAGGAAGAGACCAGCGTCATTTATACTGCAAGGCTGGGATGGCAGCTGGTATTGGAGTGCTTGCTTAGCATGAATGCCTGCCTGGATTCTGTTCCTACAAGAGTATAAACTGGATACTCTGATGCATGTCTATAACCTCAGCACTAAGAAGGTTAAGGAAAGAAGAACAGAAGTTCAAGCCCGGGCTAGAAACATGGCTCAGTAGTTAAGAGCGCTGGTTGCTCTCCCAGAGGACACAGGTTTTGCTCCAGAACCCATGTGGAGGCTCACAAACTTCTGTAACTTCATTTCCACCCTGTGTTAGCCTCTGGGGGCACTGCAAGCAACATATTGCACATACATATACTCCACCTAGATAATCACACAAACATAATTAAAAGTAGAAGTACAGTATCATCCTCTGATATATGACTTTTAGACCAACTTGGTATACTTGAGACTTTGTCTCAAAAAAAAAAATTGTCCCCTAATTTTCACAATGATTACACAGTGGCATATCTGTTCTCACTCGCCTACACTCACAATAATAAGCCAGCCAGCCAGATAGATAGATGTTAGTGTGCAGAGTAGGGATGACGCTGGAAAGTGGACATAGGATAACATACAAAGTTTCAGGAAGCAATGTGGGAATTTTGCCAACTTCTAAGTATATCTATCCTAACTGTATATTCTGGAACTGGGGAAATAAACACTGGACCTACTGGAAGTCGGATTTCAGCCAAAACTCCTGAATTTCATAAACTCCTATGTTAAGTTGACAGCCACAGTGTTTCCTAGAATATCCCTGATCAGTGTCAGAACTAGCAGACCCCAGATAACCCAACAGGCCTTCTAAAGTCTGATTGTTTCCTTTCCTCCTCGTGTATAGTTATTCTTGTAAAAGGCTGTAGGTCTCTGGGAAGAATGGGAGAAATACTAACAATAAAACTCTCAGGTATTTTAGCAAAGTCCTTCCTCAGGAGAACTTGGCTGGCCTTTTATTCAAGAGGTTCTGGGTCTCTAAACTGGCTCAAGTCTAGAAATTAGTTTATGGGCTGAGATTCCCTCTTGCCATGATCCAGTTCTTTCCCTCCACCATGTGGGTCTAGGAATCAAATCTCAGGTCATCATTGTTAGCAGCAGGAGACTGAGCCATTTCACAAGCCCAATAAAATAAAAATTTTAAAAAAGAAAAAAAATCCAAATTATGGTAAGATCTAAAACTAGAAACAGAAAGAAATAACAGAACAATGCCTAAACTGGTGAGGTAGTCTAAAAATAACCATTAGAAGAGAACAATTCAGCAGAAATGGGAGTTATCAGGAGCCAGTGTCAGGGAGAGCCCTGTGAGTGGGGATCAGGGAGGAGAGGGAGATGCCGAAGCCAGAGACAGGAAAATGCACTGCGCTCCTGAGAACAACAATAACAGCAACAAAAGGCTCAGCGGGACCAAAGGAACAATACTTCAGGAGTGGGCAGAGACTGGGCACGACACGGACTGTGGATTTTACTTTTAGGGCTTTAGGAACTGATGGATGAGGCAGTATTTAGTAAACAAGTAACAAGATCCAATGAGTCTCTTTAAGTCTTTATATGTGTGTGCATGGGCATGTGGGCACATGTGCCCACAGTACCACACATGGTCAGAGGGTAAGGTGCTATATGAGTTCTTTTTTTTTGGTTTTTCGAGACAGGGGTATATTAGTTCTTATCTACCTTAAAACATTGCTCACAGCTGTCTAGGCCAGGCTAGGTTCCCTGCAAGACTCCAGGGAGCATCCTGGCCTGGCTTCACGTCACCTATGGTAACAGAAGCATCAAGATCACAGAAACTATCGCTTCTTGGCCTTTTGGCTAAGATCAAGTGCAGTATCTGTTCTTATCAGTTTTAATATCTGATACGTCCTCTATCTGAGGACAATATATTAAACGGATTTTTGGAATTAGGAGTTGGAATAGGCCAGGCGGTGGTGGCGCACGCCTTTAATCCCAGCACTTGGGAGGCAGAGGCAGGCGGATTTCTGAGTTCGAGGCCAGCCTGGTCTACAGTGTGAGTTCCAGGACAGCCAGGGCTACACAGAGAAACCTTGTCTCGAAAAACCAAAAAAAAAAAAAAAACAAACACAAAAACAAAAAAATCACAGAAACTGCTAAGGTACCCAGCTTTACATGAGTTCTGGGCAGCAAGCGCAGTCTCTCTTGTTTGCACAGTAAATACTTTATCCAGTGATCAATCTCCTTAACCTTCCATAGGTCTTTTTATTTGTATTTATTTATTTAGATCTCATATAGCCCAGGCTGTTCTCGAACTCACTGTATAGTCAAGAATAATGTTGAGCTCCTTCCCGTCTATCCCTCCAAAGCAGGGTTTCTTAACCTGTGGGTCATGACTCCTCCTTCAAGGGGTCACATCCTGCACACCAGATATTTACATTACAATTTATAACAGTAACAAAACTACAGTCAGGAAGTAGCAATGAAATGATTTTATGGTTGAGAGTCACCACAGCATGAGGAACTGTATTCGAAAGTCACACATAAAGAAGGTTGAAAACCACCGCTCCAAAGTGTTATGATTATAAGCTTAGGTTGTGTTAGCCAACTCTGTTGATTTTTTTCCTTAGTTTTAATATGACCTTGGGGACAGGGTGATCATTCTGACATAGAGAAAGTACACAGACAGCAAGATGATCAAATCATTGGCTTTGAGAACAAATGCCAGTACCATGTGTGCAATGTGTAGCACACAGCAGGCATCGAGTCTAAGGCAGGAGGATCATGCTTTCCAGACAAACATGGGCTTAACAAGACTCTGCTTCATTCAAATACGGTTAAAGTTGGGTGTGGCGGCAAAGCCTTTAACCCCAGAGTTGGTGAGGCAGAGGGAGATAGATCTCTGTTAGTTCAAGTCCAGCCACAGATATGTAATGAGACCCTGTCTCAAAACAAAACAAAACAACAAACCCTAGAGTTGTATCCTAAGGGTTTTCAGGAAAAATTCTATATTTTTCTAAATACATTTTTTTAAAGATGTGTGTATGTGTGTGTGTGTGTGTGTGAATGTGAACCATGTGACTGACTGGGAGTTATAAATACTTGTGAGCTGACATGTGGGTACTAGGTATCAGGTCCCCTGCAAGAACAGCAAGCACTCTTAACTGCTCAGCCATCTCACCAGCCTGTTTTCTCCCTACGTAGACCAGACTGGCTTCCACTGGAAACACGCCTCCTGCCTCTAACTCCCCAGTGCAGACCACAAACATGTGCCACTATGCTATGTTTAAACACTAAATTTGTATGTATGTACAAAGGCACCTGTGCAAGAAAAAGGTCGACATCAGGTGTCTTCTTCCCCCCTCCCCACCCCCTTTTTTTTCAACATAGGGTTTCTCTGTGTAGCCCTGGAACTCACTTTGTAGACCAGGCTGGCCTCAAACTCACAAAGACCCACCTGAACCTTCCAACATCCCAAGTGCTGGGACTAAAAATATAGGGCACCACTCACCAGCTTCTTTTTTGTTTTGTCTTTGTTGTTGTTGTTGTTTTTTAAAAAGACAGGGCCTCAGTTTGCATAGTCCTGGCTGACCTTGAATTCAGATGTGCACCTGCCTCTCAGGAGTTGGGATTAAAGGCATTCACTACTGGCTATCTGCTTAATTTTTTGGTACAGAGCAGCTCACAAAACCTTATAACCTGTTTCAGCTGGAGAGGCTGCCAATAAGCCCCAGGAATCCACCTGTCTCCAGCCCACAGTCCTGTGATTCCAGGCAGACAACATTACATCTGGCTTTTTTACATGAGTGCTTAAGATGGAAAGCCTGGTCCTCGTGCTTGGGCAGCAAGCACCTTAACTACCGGCACATCTCATCAGCCCTTAGATTCTAAATGTTGAAAGCAAAGCTGACTCCCCAGGGTTGACACCCCTAATTATTTCCATTTCATTCATGGCAATCTCCAAAGAGACAATCGCAGTCCACTCCGAGGCCTATCCAGCCTCTGTGGTGAAACCTCTGCCTTCTCATTGACAGCATCTATTCATATCGAACATCTTGTACTCAAGAAAGACCTTCCATGGAGCTGGCGAGATGGCTCAGATGTTAAGAGTGCTTGCGACTCTTCCAGAGGATCCAAGATGGGATGCCAGCAAACATACAGGTGGTTTACTGAAACTCCAGTTGTAGGGGATCCAACACTCTTCTGGCCTCCGTAGGGACCCACACTCACACATGCACTCACACACAGACATAAATACAAATTGATTTTTAAAAATTGTTAAGCCTTCCCTGACCTTCAATATATTAGCAGCATCCAACCCAGACCTCACGTCACCAGAACTATTTCTTTGCAAAATTTGTTTCCCAGGTGCACTCACACGCAAGCTTAGCACAGTGCTTGGCACACGGGAAGTGTGGAAGCATATGGTGAATGGACAAACGCATCCCATCCTAGGGGCACAAGGACAGCTAAACCCGTGTCAGTGAGAAATTGCGCCCTGGCTGACCCAGTGCAGATCTGAAACGCAGATCTGAAACGCAGATTTTTCCACAAAGCAGGACCCAAGCCAAAGGGGAGCTGCCACCTGAAGAGGGCACCGGAGGGGCAGGAGGGCAATCCCAGGCTGGCCACTATGGGTGCCACCGGCCCCGAGAGCAGTTCATTGGGAAAGCCCACGCGGTTCCCACCCGGCGCCAAGGCCTTTGAGGAAGACCAGGAGTGCTCCTCAGCCACGGGGGGTGGGGGGGGTAACCCGAGTCTGGGGTCTCGGCAGACCAGAGAGGTGCATACGCAACGTTACTGTGAGTTGCCCAGGGGCTGAGGCGAGAAGTCCGCGTGTCTGGTCCGCGACAGAAAGGAGGGTGAACAGGAGACGTGCAGTCGCGAGAACCCAGGCGGGCGCCGAAGGAAAGGCGGGGGATGTTACCTGCAACATCCCGGTTGTCCATCTTGAGACTCATCCAATCCCACAATGCTCCGGCGCCACCTGAGAGGAGGGAGGCTCTGTTATAGTGCGCCTGGTCTGATGGGAAATGTAGTCCTCCTCCGTCAATTACGTCCAACCTCTTCTTAGGACACCAGACGTCTTCTCCACAGAAACTCCGGCGTCAGCTCATGAACGTGTGTTACTCTCAGTCGCGATGATGCAGAGGTATCATCCTCTCCTCAGAGTCTTCCTCAGTCGCAGCCACTTCGAACACGCACCATAAGACCCAGAAGTCCTTGCGTAGCAGTTCTCGCGAGAATCGCGAGTCGCCAGGCCCCGCCCCTCAAGGTGCTTCCGCCTTTCTGTGGAGGCGGCTTGTTGTTGTGCAGGCCAAGATGGCGGCACAGGCGGCGGCTGCGGCGCAGGCGGCGGCCGCGGCTCAGGCGGCCGCAGCGCAGGCCGCGCAGGCCGAGGCAGCCGAGTCGTGGTATCTAGCTCTCCTGGGTTTCGCCGAGCACTTCCGAACATCTAGCCCGCCCAAGATCCGCTTGTGCGTTCATTGCCTGCAGGCCGTGTTCCCCTTCAAGCCGCCTCAGCGGATCGAGGCCCGTACGCACCTGCAGCTCGGCTCCGTGCTTTACCACCACACGAAGAACAGCGAGCAAGCGCGCAGCCACTTGGAGAAGGCGGTTAGTGTGCGGGCCAGGCGGGCGGGTACTGGGGACTCGATCCTCTTCGCCTCATCGGCTTGGGACTTCCGAAGGCCTCGCCTTCACCCGTGGTGACAGACACGGCTCCGCCACGCCCTCTCACCCGGGAACTGGGAGAGTTGTCCCTTAGCAATAACTTGGTTCTCGTATCGAGGACCCCCATAGTCGGGTGGCCATGGGGACAGTACCCAGAGCGTCAGCCTAGAACCGCCTACCTAATGGGACTGCAGATAACAGGGAGAGACCCAAGCTCCCTGAGATGTAACAGTAAGGTCCTAGGAAGTCTGAAATGCCATTCCTAGTGGCTGGACCACAGATTCTGACATTCAGGTGTCTAGGTCTCGAGTCCCCGTTCCTGAGGCATGGCTATTGGGGGAGGTGAGGCCTTGAGCTTCTGGTTGAACATTGTTGCCCTATGAGGACGTGAAGTGAAGAATGTAGCTTCTAGAGTCGGTTGCAGCTCGGGGGTCGGTCTGGAGGTCGGTCTGGAGGTCGGTCTCACTAGTGGTGGCTTCTCCCACCGTGAACCGGTCCATCTTTGAAGGAGTCCCCACTCCACCTCCAACTTGATTTGTGACGTCTTGGTGCTTCACAGAATTTGAAGAGGTAGCTGTCATTCGGCTTCTCAGTAAACTTAGTGGCTGTAAGACTTGTTTCTTCTCATGGCAACTGTGTCTCTTTCACACCTCTGCCTCCTTTTTTTTTTTTTTTTCCCATTTCCCTATCTTTGTTTTGACTGAAGAAGGTCCTTGAGACAACTCAGATGTTTAATGTACTGAACCATAGACAGTCTTAAGTAAATTGCCTTCAGGAGGGGATGAAAATCCTTGTCATCCAGACTGCAGTTAGAACTTCTAATCCTCACTGAACCAACTAACTTCCATATTTCAAGAGTGAAACCATATAGGCTTAGCTAGGTGAAGTGATTTAGCAAAGACCACATTGTGAGGTTTTTGGTTTTGTTTTGGGGTGGGTGGGTGGGAATCATCGAGGTCTTACTATGTAGCACAGAATTGGCCTGAATTTCCAGCAGTCATCCTTCCTGGCCACCCAACCCTGGGATCACAGCCATAGCTGCACATACCTGTGATGTGCATACTCAAGGTAGAGGCAAGAGGCTAGCCTCTGCTACATAGAAAGACTATCTCAAAGAAAGTAGGTCTGGTTAGATGACTCTGTGGGTAAAGGCTTTTGCAGCACAAGACTGATAGCTTGAGTTTGAGTGGAAGGTGAACTCTCTCAAAACTTGCCTTCTGATCTTCGCATTGGCCTGCACTCATACACATCATACACACAAAGAATAAGATTTGTTTTTAAAGATTATAATAAAACGAGGAGCTGGGTGTGGTGGTAGATGCCTTTAATCTTGGCACTCAGGAGACAGGCA